ATGCTTTGGGTGTACCAAACGTCACAACGTAACTGAGTGGATATAAAGGTGCACTGCGAGTATCTCCGAAAGTGTCTGTTGGGTTGGCACGAATCGAGACTGGGATTTGTCACTCCGTGTAACGGAGAGGTATCTCTGGGCCCACTCGGTAGGACATCATCATAATGTGCACAATGTGACGAAGGAGTTGATCACGGGATGATGTGTTACGGAACGAGTAAAGAGACTTGCCGGTAACGAGATTGAACGAGGTATCGGGATACCGATGATCGAATCTCGGGCAAGTATCGTACCGATAGACAAAGGGAATTGTATACGGGATTGATTGAATCCTTGACATCGTGCTTCATCTGATGAGATCATCATGGAGCATGTGGGAGCCAACATGGGTATCCAGATCCCACTGTTGGTTATTGATCGGAGAGTTGTCTCAGCCATGTCTGCGTGGCTCCCGAGCCCGTAGGGTCTACACACTTAAGGTTCGATGACGCTAGGGTTATAGGGAAAGTATGTACGTGGTTACCGAATGTTGTTCGGAGTCCCGGATGAGATCCCGGACGTCACGAGGAGTTCCGGAATGGTCCGGAGGTAAAGAATTATATATGGGAAGTCCCGTTTTACTCACCAGAAAAGTTTCGGGTGCTATCAGTAGCGTACCGGGACCACCGGGAGGGTCCCGGGGGTCCACCAGGTGGGGCCACTAGCCCCAGAAGGCTGTGTGGGCCAAGTGTGGGAGGGGACCAGCCCCAAGTGGGCTGGTGCGCCCCCCACCAAGGCCCAAGGCGCGTGGAGAGTGGGAATGGGGCAAACCCTAGGTCCAGATGGGCCTTAAGGCCCACCCTAGGGCGCCCCCCTCTCCTCTCCCCTTTGGCCGCCACCCTAGATGGCATCTAGGGCTGCCGCCACCCCTAGGGATGGAACCCTAGATGGGGGAGAAGCCCCTCCCCTCCCCCTATATATACTTGAGGTATTGGGGGCTGCCCAACACATGATTTGATCTCCCTCTTGGCGCAGCCCGACTTCTCTCCCTCCTCGTCTCTCGTAGTGCTTGGCGAAGCCCTGCTGGAGTCCCGCGCTCCTCCACCATCACCACGCCATCGTGCTGCTGCTGGACGGAGTCTTCCCCAACCTCTCCCTCTCTCCTTGCTGGATCAAGGCGTGGGAGACGTCACCAGGCTGTATGTTTGTTGAACGCGGAGGCGCCGTTGTTCGGCGCTTAGATCCGAATCGACCGCGATCTGAATCGTTGCATGTACGACTCCACCAACCGCGTTCTTGCAACGCTTCCGCTTAGCGATCTACAAGGATATGTAGATGCACTCCCCTTCCCCTCGTTGCTAGATTACTCCATAGATTGATCTTGGTGATGCATAGAAAATTTTAAATTTCTGCTACGATCCCCAACAGGAAATACTTACGCAAGCATGTTTTCCAAGATAGTCAAGTGGGCATGGTAGATTATTTTCGAGTTTCATCATAGCTACATAAGATGGCTCAATGTTGCAGTAATCTCAGAGCTAAAATAAAACATAGCTCAAGTATCCATACGCCAGCATGGCGGGGTAGGCGAAGCGGGTGAGTGCCTCACCCTAGATGGCTAAAGTCCAGTAGCCGAAAGCATCACTAGTTTATGCTCTGACCCAAGTAGCATGGGACATGAGATCCCATGTGAATGAGAAAGGACCATCTTGCAAGGCTAAATAATCTTGGGTGACCGATAGCGAAGTAGTACTGTGAGGGAAATTATGGCGGAAAGAACCCTAGTGGGTAGTGAAATAGAACGTGAAACCGCGCTGAGCTCACTCACATCCCATTTTCAATGTTGTCGTAATATCAGACCTAAAACAAAACATAGCAAGTACCCATATGCTAGTGTCATAGACTCGCATCCCATTTATTTTAAATCTTGAAAACTATTGTTCTTATTTTCATTGAATCTAATCATCCACTCGAAGTTTATATCTATACTCCATTTATCATCTTGCTAATCCAATTAGAAGGATGGATACTTGGTGAAGTAGGATTCAAAAGGCACCTCTAAAGGAACTATCTTTCTTTTCAGATTCACCTATCTTCAATTTAGAAATTTCACCTATTCTCCTTACCTTTCACTGTCATATTCCAGGATTATCAGTTATAACATAAAATATAAACTCTTAATTATAAAAATATAAAAATAAATAATACAACCAGAGTGCTCTTCCTATGCTTGGCACCGCATCTTGGCGAGCTCGTGTCGTCCAACCAGAGTGCCTTTATCGCTGGCCGCGGGGTGCACGACAACTTTATGCTGGCGCAGCAAACGGCCAGATAGTTCCACAGCAGCAAGGCCCTGTGGATTCTTCTCAAACTTGACATAGCGTGTGCTTTCAACTCCGTGTACTAGCCCTTCCTCCTCGAGGCCCTGCGCACCTTGGTTTTGGCAAGTGTTGGCAAGCATGGGTATCAAATCTTCTGTCCACCTCCTCCACTCGCATGCTCATAAATGGCAATGCTAGACCTCCCATGGATCACGTGCGTGGCCTACGCTAGGGTGCCCTCTCTCGCCCTTGCTATTTGTCCTCGTCATCGACACACTCAACTCCATGGTGCAACACGTAGTTCGGTGTGGTGTGCTACAGAGGCTCACGACAAGACCTGCTGCTTCCAGCATCATGCTTTTCGCGGATGACGTTTTGATTTTTTGCCACCCATCTGAGTCTGGACTGTTGGTGGTGTGTGCGATTCTACAATGCTTCGATGCGGCCTCTGGCATGGCCACCAACTTAAAAAAGATATGTCACTCCAATCCGCTGCACACCCGAGGATTATGCGTGCGCGAGAACCATTCAGTCTTGCCTTGTCGTTCCATTCTCGATCTCCTACCTCAGCTTGCCTCTTTCGGTGAGGAAAGTTCCAGTCTCGACACTGATGTTGTTTGTTGAGAGAATGTCCAAGTGCCCTGCCACTTGGCAGGCTTCTCTTCTTTCCCGAGGTGAACGGCTTGCCCTTGTGTGACACGTTCTGTCCACCATGCCCGTCCATATTTTGTTGTCCATGACACTCTAACCGTCCATTCTGAAGCTTGTGATGTGGATCATTAGAGATTTCCTTTGGCACAAACGGCGTGAGGCCAGGGCGGGGAACTGCCTCGTCAGCTGGGCCAAAATCTGCCAATCGTTGGAACTTGGAGGTTTGGGTGTGCGTGATCTCCAGCGCATAGGCATCGCCCTTCGCGTGCGCAGGCTCTGGCTGCGAGCAATTGATCCATCGAGGCCGTGGAACCATCTTCCTCTCCCTACCACGACACGCAGGACATCTTCAGGGTTTCCACTTCCCGGACTTTGGGGGACGACAAGACTTCTATGTTCTGGCTTGACCATTGGATCGATGGCCATTCCATTCGTGAGATTGCTCCCACCCTATTTTCCCTTATGCCTCGTCAACACCTCAACCATCGCCTAGTCTGTGATGACCTCAAGTTGCGCTCTTGGATCTAGGACATCCATGGCACTCTCAGCGTGGTGGCCACTATCAAGTACATCTCTTTCTCACAACACCTACACCATGTCAACCTGTTGTCCGAGCCAGACTGCTAGCTATGGTGTTGGACTGACAACATGGTATATTCCGCAAGCTCTTGCTACATGGCCATGTTACAGGTATCTATCCCCGACCCGCACTAGCACCTAACCTGGAAGGGTTCGGCCCCGACAAGCGTCAAGTTCTTCCTATGGCTTGTGCACCTTAATAGATGCTGGACTGCAGATGATCTCAGAAATCTTGGCCTTCCGTACCCTTCTAGTTGCATGCTTTGTGATCAAGAGGCTGAAATGATCCACCATCTCCTTGTGGGTTGTGTCTTCTCTAGGCAAGTTTGGTACCATGTGATTTCATTGTGCCGCTTCACTGCCATGCCACCGGATGGGACAACAACACTCTTCTATTGGTGAGCTGCGGCGTCGGCATCCTGCCCTCCCAGTTTGCGCAAAGGATTTGACTCCATTGTCCCTCTCTGTGTGTGGATGATTTGGTAACATCGGAGCAAGCAGGCATCTATCCCCGGCCTAGTGACATCCATCCAGGGTGAAGCACGGGCATGGACTAATGCAGGAACCAAAGGGCTACGTTTGATTTTCGAGCAACCCTGTCTACTCCTTGGGTTTGCTTCCACACCATCTTGTGTACGCGGCTTGGCAACCCCCTAACTCTGTTCTTTGTTTCCCTCTATCAATGCATTGATACGCTCCACCCGTATTGGCGAAAAAATAGTGTACTTAGCAACCATGTTTCAGAAATAATTAAATCGGACATATACTCTGTTTGGTATAGTGAAACATTTTTCATCGTGCGCCCTTTCATTACTCCCCCCCTCTTTATATTTTTCAGAATCCTCCCTGCCACCGTGAAAAAACATGGTTGAGTAACCTCGACTCAACAACCCATGTCAGATTCTTTCAGTTGGTGTGTAAACACAAAAATCTTTCGGTACTTTGGCATATGATCTGGCCAGAATAGACATCATATTTTGTTGGATTAAATTGCAGCAAAGTCGCCTATTTCAATATTCAATCTGGTCATTTTGGTTTCATTCTGAATGGGATTCAACCAAAATTTGAATTTTGTTTGAGACTAAAAGTCATCGCCTTTTTCACCGGAACATAAAGTTCATTGTAATTGGGTGAAATCTCGGTGAAGAATGTCGAGCCTTCGAAATTATTAGCCTCAAGTTCATGAGAGCATTATAATTCACAAGTAGCGTACTTGGCAACCGTGTCCGAGACCTCGGTTCATGAGTTTAATCGGATCAAACGAACTAAGCACAGATTCATTCACGAATGATATGATTCAGCACTTAGAAACGAAGTCCAACACAAACTTCACATGTCCAAGACTAAGATAGTTGCCAAGAACAGCACACGTTTGGAATTGTGGACATGGCAAACATGCATGCATGCATGTGCCAAGGACCTGCCAAACAGCAAAGGATCAAGAAGCGTTAATGTCGTGGGCGCTCAGGCTCAGCCGAAGAGCATCTGGGCGTGCGGGGTGAGGTCCTTGTGCACCTCCTTGATGGTGCCCTCGGCGACGCCGGTGGCGACGGACACTTCCTTGACGGACCTGCCGGCGCCGGCGCGCTGCACGACCATGAAGCTGATGGCGGCGGCGACCGACTCCGGGTTGCGGCGCACGTCGAGCCCTTGCTCGACCCTCCGCACGGCCTCCTGTGCGTCGCGCACCTCCTGGTTGCCCAGGCCGAGCCGGGAGCAGAAGCGGCGCAGGTAGTCAGTGGCGCTGACGACGCCGATGTCCATCACCTGGCCGTCCTCCTCCCCGAGGAGCTTCTTGATGTGCGTCGTCATCTTGCCGACGTCCTTCTTGGCGGCCACGCCCCCGGCGGTGACGGACGCGAGCTCCTTGTACGTGCGCGGCATGCCGAGGTTGCGGCAGGCGATGTAGAGGCAGGCGGCGTAGACGGAGTCCCGCTTCCGGCCGCGCGGGCAGCCCTTGGCCTCGTCCAGCTTCTTGAACGTCTCCTTGGCCAGGTCCCGGATGGTGGCCACGAGGCCGAGCCGGTCGGCCATGTCGGGGATGCCGCGGAAGCCGTCGACGAGGGTGTTTTCGGAGGCCACCCCCGCGTCCGGCACCGACATCCTCGGCGGAGCCTTTGTCGCCACGCCGGTGGCGGAGGACTTCCTGGTCTTGTTGGTGTAGTCGATGACGGTGGAGAGCTTGGTGTTGAGGAAGGGGTCGCCAGAGGTGCCGACGCGGCTGGGGTCGCGGTCGTCGCCGCCGCCGTCGTCGGCGAAGTTGCGCCACTCGGAACCCTCGTCGATGTAGTGCGCGTCGAGGACGAGCGCGCACTCGGTGCAGATGGTGTCGCCGGTGCCGTGGTCCAGGACAACCTCCGTCGCGGGGCGGCACTCCGGGCAGTACACGCGCTCGTCCGCCGCGGAGCAGGTGCTGGTGTACATGGCTGCTGCTGCTGCCGCCGCCGCCGTGTGCGCAGTTTTGGTATTGGTTGTGGCGACGGGTTGGGGAAAAGGGTCTGAAGGTTAGATTGGGGGCTTTGGGCTGATATTTATGGACGCATAGGTCGGTTAGTTCGACTCGGTTTTGCACGGCGGTGATTCTTTTGCGAGAAGTTTTTACAATCATTGTCCTCCTCGTACCCATTGTCCGACACCACCCACAGTCGGTTTCGGCTCCACAAAATTTGTAAACACAAGTCCACAGTCGGCTTCGGTCGAGAGATTTTCCTTTTTTCTAAACAAAGAACGAGGGCTCTCACTCGATCCTTCTCCAGCGCCGCCGCCGCCGAAGCACTTCCGTCGCCGCCGGACCAAATCAAAGCTTCGCATCGTCCCCTCCACCGGACCGCGCTTGCAGTATCTTCGGTCGCCGCTGAAGCACTTCCGTCGCCGCCGTGAGATTTTTCTGCGGAATCGATCATCCCAGCTGACCCGTCCTATCCAATTGACACGCAGGGGCTTGTATTTTTGGTGGCAGCAAATCGATCTTGGGGACAAAGATGGCAAGCAACAAGAGGAGGAAGGCTGTGGCCGCGTCGCTCATGCCGCCGTTAGCCGAGTCGCTGCTGCCGCCGGATGAGCTGATGACGGATGTGTTCCTGTAGCTGCCCGTCAAATCCCTCCTCCGCTTCCGGACCGTCTGCCGCTCCTGGGCCGCGCTGCTCTCCTCCGACGAGTTCTGCGGCCTCCACAGGGCCAAGGTCGAGGCCGAGGCAGCACCGTCACCCAAGCTGCTATTCATCTCGCCGGCCGCGAGCTTCGACTCCACGGGGATTTACTCGTGCTCGCCATCAGGCAACGGTCTCCTGCTCACTCTCAACGACGTGCGTGGTGACCATGTGGACATGACGCCTGCGCCGTGCCACGGCCTCACCCTCTTGCATGACGCCGTTGAGCCAGCCTACTATGTTTTCAACGCGACCACACGGGCCGTCACCCGGCTGCCGCCTTGCCAAGACTCCTTCATGGCCATTGCTTGTCTCGGATTCGATTCCAGGAGGAGGGACTACAAGGTAGTGAGGTTGTTTTTCGAGAAACACTTCGGGGTTGATAATATCAAGTGCGAGGTGTACGCCCTTGGTGGCGAGCACGGGGATCGCTGGATGCCGGCTGCCGGTGGTGTGCCCTTTAGGTTCTGCAAGTTTGCCGCTGATGCGATAATCGCAACACGGAGTGAAGCTAAGCTGATGCCGGTGTTCGCAGACGGATTTCTGCACTGGGTTGTCGACTCGCCTCTTTTCCTCGCAAAGCCAAGAGCTGCCGTCTTATCGTTCTCTCTCGCAGATGAGACCTTTAGATGGTTCAGGTCACCAATCTTCGAGGTCCCAGGAGTGCACCTGGTGGAGCTTGATGGCCACTTGTGTATGGTCCGGGACCTCCGTCCCGATACTAGTATTATGGAGATTTGGGAAATGCAGGACTGCAACTCTGGTGATTGGACGTTGGCACATCGTATTGATTTGTTACAACATGTTCAAAGAGGTTTGACGGAGCCGCAAATTATTAGAGTCATTGGGTCTGTTGGCAACTGTGGATCAAGGAACAAGGTAATCTTGGCTACATCCAAACGCAAGGTGATCACCTATGACCCAGTATCTGCAACTCTGGAAACCGTTCTTGCAATCAGAGAAACTCATTCACCTTACGAAACCAAGCAATCTGCTCCTAGAGTCAGTTTATTTAAAGAGAATCTTGCTCCGGTGCACAGAACAAATGAAGAGATAGACTCGGGTTCTCCCCTGGCCAAGGCAACTAAGGAGATCCTACTCCGACTCCCGGGTAATTTTGCAGTGCAGTTCAAGCTGGTCAGCAAGCAGTGGCTTACATTGATCGAGAGTCGAAGCTTCATGCGCTCTTACTATGAGCATAACAACAACATAGACAGGAGGCCCAAGATCATGCTTGTGGGCAAGGGTGCTAGAGGTCTGGGTTTCAGTTTTGCTCCCATGGGTAAATTGCTTCAAGAGGCTCCTAGTCAAGGAACATGGCTTGACACAAGGGTGGTTTGCTCCAAGCCTTGTCATGGCATGAACCTGTTAAGTACTGAGAGTGAGGACTATCTCTACAACCCTTGCACAGGTTACGGCAGTAGATACCACACTCAAGGGAGGCTCGCCTATGTGCCCAACCATATACTCTCGATGATGCACGACAGTGTCCATACACCAGAAGATCATGCTTTTGGTGTTGGCAACAGGAATGTTGGCCTGGGGTTCAATCATCTGACACGGGAGCATGTCATTGTTCAAATCTTATATCACTTGAAGGACTTTGAATCTCGTCAATATTTATTTACATTCTCAGTAATTGCCACTGGATCGGTGCAAGACCACTTTCAGCCGCCTCTTCCTGTAAATGACATGCCACCAACCTATCTGTCAGGAGTACTATATTGGATGAGTGAACCAAGGTTAGGCCAGAGTTATGAGAGGGCCATTGTGTCTTATAACATTGCGACTAGGATGTTTGGTGTCATCTCCTGCCCCTCAAGCATCGCAGTGTGGAGCAGCACAAGTCCATCCCAAGCATTTGTGGTAGAGCTTGAGGGGATATTATGTGCTGTTCATGCAGATCCAGTTGCAGATGAGTTGGATATTTGGAAGCTGGAACATGGTCGATGGGATAGAGCATGTAAAATATATTTAGAAGACTGCCCAGGCTATTCCCTTGGAGCAAATGGTGTGGTTCCCTTGGCCGTTGACCCCAAGGATGGGAGAATCATGCTGAACACAGGGAGGAAATTGGGTCTTTATGATCCAACAAAGCAATCGATTGAGAACTTGTATGATCTTGATGAGGTCTTGCATGTCACAAGTTCAGAGCAGTCTCCACGCGTTGGAGTGTATGAAGATGTCTAGATAACCAAATGCGGACATCATGTCGAGAAGTTCTGCCCGCCGAAGTCACCTTTGGAGCAGCCCGCGTTTTTCGGTGAGCCTTCACCTAAATTATCTGGGAAGCAATTTACGTGCTCCAATGGCGTTCAACCTTTGGAGGGGAGAACTCCTCTGGACAGTAAAGTTATGCCTCTGGTCCCAATGTTATACGAGGAGAGCTTGGCAAGCTTTCCATTCTTCGCAAAACTAGGTGGTTAAGCTGATGTGTTACCAAAAGTTAAAAAGTCCAGCAGTTTCGTTTTGGTAGCACCGTGTGTTTTCTGACATGTGTCAGTTACTCAATATAGGTGGTGGAAACAGCAATTGTACTCCTATTATAGGTTTTTTAGTATTTCTTATTGAGTTATTTATCATCAACAATCTCTTTGTATAATTGTCTGCTGGGAAAGCTTATGTACTGATGTTTTTGTAATGTTACTTACTCTTTGTGTTCAGAGATTTACTTTTGCTATGTAAGTGTATTATTGTTCTCCTTGTTAGACCAGGTTGCCAATGCCAGGACATATGTATGCTTGAGTTGAGCTCTGGGATGTGTAGCCAATCCCATTCTTCTAACTGCATTTCTGATGCTATGGTGGCCTGGCTGATTACATCGAGAGTAGAATTTTAGAAATATATACATATCCTGGGGAGTGTCAAATGTACTCCCTCCGTAAAGAAGTATAAAAGCGTTTAGATCACTACTCTTATGAAGAGAGAATACCTTACGAAGTAAGAATTTGTGGCAAGTCCTTGATGAGAAATTGATTAGTGGAGAACAACTGGAGGTGTATTTGTGTGGGTCTTTAGATCATACAGATGGATCGACTATTTTCAAGCACTGTATGTTCGTCAGTTGCAAAATTTCCAAGGCTTTCTAGCTAGGAACCTAAACTTGCAACGCTTTTGTTCCATCGCTGGCACGGGCTCTGCTGCATCTTTCTATCTCAGCTTTTTAGGTCAACTCAGTCAAAGAATGACCAGATTCATCAACCACAAAAGAGGTTCAGTCAATTGTGTGTATTACCAATGCTAACATTACTACTCCCAGTGCTTCATCCCTATCCTGGGAGGCTGGGACAAAAACATATAGAGAATACTACCGTGTAACTAAATATAACTCAAATTATGAAGATCAGATAGCTCATAACCAAGAAGCTTAATGACTCGAATCATCTATGTGCCGTGAAGCAAAATTCTTGTACAGATTCACTAGCTAAAGTTGCTCCAGTCCGAGAGCAACTGTCATGTTTTACTTGTTGTGACAATCTGTAACATGCAGTGCTTCCAATACAAATAGAAAACAGAATGGTCTGGTGCCTTTGCTTTCAGAAAGAAAAATCAAGCAATCAACTGCTGGAGATAATTAGAGTCTACTAACACACAAGGTCTGCTCCATGTCACAGAGTGAACCAAATATTCATGATACAAAGTGAATCTAAGGGAAGTATAATGCTGGTGGATCAAGTACCATGACAACAACGCGAGGGAAATTAAAGGAGCAAATACAATGTTACCATGGCAACAATTACGAGGACCACGAACCAAATCTAAATGTGATGAGAAAGCAATTTAAGTACATAAACTGTGAGGATCTCTAATGGGACACCAAACTCAACCTGGGGGATTCCCTATATAAAAGCTAACGGGGCAACAGTTGCTGTAGCCTTAAACGTGGAAATTCTTCCATCTCCGTTTAGCTCGTACTCCCTCCGTTCCTAAATATAAGGTGTATTAGTTTTTCAAAAAGTCAACTGTTGTCTATGTTTGACCAAGTTTACAGCAAAATATATAAAGATTTATGATACTAATTATATAAAATGTAAAAATACAGTTCATGATGAATCTAGTGATAATGATTTGGTATTCTAGATATTGATATTTTTGTCTATAAACTTGGTCAAACTTAGAGATGTTTGACTTTTTGAAAAAATAATACACCTTATATTGAGGAACGGAGGGAGTATTAATAAAGTGGTCGTATGCATCGCCTAGATGCAGAGGCCGCCTCCTTTTCTAAAAAAAATATCTCCGTTTAGCTCGTATCAATCCTGCTCGACAACTACTCTTGCAGCACCCGCGGAAAAGAGGTGACGCCAAGACACGTAGAAATATGACACAACATTGTCGGCGCGCTCCGCTCTGTAGAAGATCATTGGTAGTGGGCGTACCATGTAGTGCTGGTGAATCAAGTACTGGCTGATGGGAAGGTCTGGTACGTAGCTGCAGCGGTGGAAGCTGATGAAGCCGCGGCTAATGGCAGCCGCAAATGCACCGATCGCAGTAAGTCTCGGTGCAGCATGAGGCGAGCCTTGTACTAGCAGGTAGCGCACACTCTGTGCCCGGTACCAGTGGTCCATATGCTGCTCGTCTTGGCCGGGAGGGGCCTCGGCCGCGCGCTGCTGCTCCGGGAGCGCCGACGACGCCGCGTCCTTGACGGCCGGCCGGGGTCGTGACGGTGCGGTGCTGTGCTCCACCAAAGAAAATAATAGCGCGCTGTAGAAAATAGCATGGCCCCTGAAAATATGCTATTAGATATTGATTTATTTAGCGAGACAATTCTTTATATGCTATAGTGTGTTATTAGCGACGATATAGCGCGCTATTTTTTTCAGTGGCTCTACGGCAGAGGCCGTTAGTGTTGACGGGTGCACCAAGCAGAAACCATCGGAATGGGATGGCGTGTTTGTTCCGCCAACATTCGCAATGTGCGTAGGGGTAGCAACCCAACCATGACTCGGGTCCTCAAAGGACGATCAAAGGCCGCCGCACACAGTACAGTACCATCGGGCCTACAAAATTGGGCTTGAACTCAAGAAAGCCCGACACGGCCCGGTCGGCCCGGCCCGACTACGGCTAAAAACATGTTTTGTGCAGGCCCGAGCCTGGCCTTGCCTGCCTGTCGGGCTCAGTTTCTAGGCTTGAGCCCGGCCTGACGGCACACTCGGTCTTAGCCCGGCCCGGAATTTTCAGGCCGTTTGGGCCGGGCTGCCCATGGCCAGGTCTAGTCGAGACCCTGCAGCTCCACAATGCCGAGACTCCACGTCATCAATGCGTCACATGAAATACTGTTTCACTGCTGAAACCGTCCATTGGTCTCTTGAGCCAATGCACACCTTCAAGAGTGATACCCCTAAGGGGAACAACACAAGAGCGTCGCCGTTATCTGATAGGCTGATCTAGGGCCACGTCCCTTTCATGCACGTTGGCAACAAATTCATTCACTCATGCACGTTGGAAGCCAGGGCCACATCCCATTCCTTTTCATCACGGGCTACCCAGGTGCTTCTCCACTTCAGAGAAAAGGCTAGGCTAAGCCCAAATAGGGCTTGGACCTAACCCGGCTTTAAATTAATAAAGGCATTAACCGGTCAGGATACAAACAGCAGCAACATACAAGCATAATAGAACAAGAAAAGGGAAAGGGAAATGGGGATGCAACCCCAAACGGCAGATACAAGGTGAGCAAAATAAGCAAATGGTCAGCATACGTTTAATTTTTAGGCACTATTATTTTTTGTTTTACTATATTTATATTTATATTTCTGAAATGGAAAATATTGTATTTACATATTTCAAAATGATTATCATACATTTAATTGTTTTAGCATGGCGTAAGAAAATGTCCGTGCCTCTTTTATATAATATTGGTACCATTTGAATAAATGTTCTGCATTTAAGAAATGTATTATATAATATTGGTACCATTTGAATAAATGTTCTGCATTTAAAAATGTTGACCATGTATAAAAAATAGTAAATTTTGCAATAAAAAATGCTCATCAACAATTTAAAAAATGTTAAATTTGTACAGAAAAAATGTTGACCATGCATTAAAAAAATGTTAATTTAGTATTTGAAATTTTTTAATCAGCCATTTGAAAATGCTAAAAATGCATATTAAAATGTTGACTGTGTATTAAAAAGAGGTCGCCACAACATGAAAAATATAAAATTGTCAATCAAGCATGTGCAAAATATAAAAAACGTGTACAGGAAGTTGACCATGTATTCAAAAACTGAGAAAGAAACAAAGGAAACCGGTGAAAACCAAAAAAAAAACATAAGGCTAAAGAAAACTATTGAAAAATAGAAAAACCAAAAGAAAACAAGAAAGAAGATGAAACGAGTACATCAACCAGCACGAGCGATCTCCTCAGTCTGAAACAGCGAACAGGAAAAACCGACGGAAAACAGTCTGGCCTAGTACTGTAGCGGTGTTGAATATGCTTTAGATGAGACCTATTGAAACAGTCGCTATATGTGAGATAGAGCATTTGCGATGCATCGAATGGGGATTACCACAACCGCTCGCACCTTGGCACTTAATAAATGGCCTGGCGAACGTGGGAGGTGGGGGGCAGGGGGGCTTTTGCTCTCGAGCGGATGCCTATTTTTCTTGTTTTATTGTACTTGTATTTATATTTCTAAAATGGAAAACATTTTATTTACATATTTCAAAATGCTCATAATACATTTAAATTTTTAATGTGGTGTAACAAAATGTTCGTGCCTCTTTTAAATAATAATGGTAGCATTCGAAAAATGTTTGTGACATTTAAAAAATGTTCGCATTTCTAAGTAATATGTAAGAACTATTTCCCATATTTTCCAACAGTTTAGCACATGAATAAAATACTATAGTATGTTAGTTGTCTGCTGCCGGGGCTTTGCGCCGCCCGACCTTACTCAAGGCTCGATAAATCCACCAAATGCTATTGATTGTTTCTTTATATGGGCCTGCCAGCCGCACGGGTCACCAGGGCCCTTTTTCATGTTTTTCTATTTTTTTATTTCTCTATTTTTTAATTACTTTCATTTATACTAATGTATATTATAAATAAGTGTATTACAAAAAGCTTTTCATAATAAGACTTTAAAAATGTTAACTAAGAATTTGAAAAATATTGAATGTGTATAAACAAAATGTTTCTCATGTACACAAAATATACAATATGTGTGAAAACATTAATCATCTAAAA